TCACTTGAACCCAGGAGCTCAAGACCAGCCTGGGTAACATATCAAAATCCCTATCTCTAAAAAAAAAGACTAAACTACAGCTCCCTTCTGGCTTCCATGCTGCTGGGTCTATAGCAAGAGTGGCAACCTGTTTGAGACCACCCCCCTTCCCAATTGCTCATACAGAAGGGTTACATAGAATCAAACTGGAGTCCACTCACTTAGCACAGCAAACCAGATGGTGAAGCCGAGAGGTGCAGTGGGGAGTGGGGCATTTTCACTGGATGGCACCATGCAAGAACAGGCAGCTAACCTTAAGACTTGAGCTCTTGAGGGCTTACAAAACAGGGTTTTTAAAGACAGGGGAATATTTCAGGCAGGCAAATTTGTAAATCAGTAGATGGAGGTTATGTACTGGCCTGTCCCAGAAAAGTCGGGTATCCTGAAATGGAGGCCTGGGGGCTTATAGGGTTGTAGGTGGATTCAGGGATTCCTGGAATTGCAGAAAGAAATGTTAAGATGGGTGTGACTTTCTCCAGGCCCCTATGGGGCAAGTTTAGAACAAAGAGCATTATCACAGTTCAGTGATAACTTCAGGAAGTCGCAGCTTCCCCTTATCTATATTTTCTATCCCAGTAGGGGCTCCAGCACTTATGTTAAGATGCCATCCTTTAGTTCCCATAGGAAACCAAAACATCTGATGACTCTGGCTTGCATGGAGGGACCATGTTAGTTGTATTCCCCTTTCTAGGTGCCCTGAACCTTCCCCCCAAAGGACTCAAGATATTCCTTTATTTCCATGCTTTCGCAGCCCACTAGGCCCCCTAAGAGGGATCCCTGCTCTGTATCAGAAACACAGATAACTTCTGTTAAACTAGGATGCAGCCAAGAATCTCTGGCAATACAGAGCCCCAGACACCCAGACATTTACTACCTATTAGTCGGAGTTGGCATGGAAGGGAAAACCAATTTGCCTTTCCTGGTCCGTACTGTATTGTCTTACCTCCACAGGATGAACTAACCCAGAAAAGCCAAGGCATCCTAGCAGCATCAGGAAAAGACTTAGCTGAAAAGAATCTCCAAGACCAGCTCTTGCCCTGCTGCTAAACATCAATTCGACTTGTACAATCTCCCTGGTAACAGAGTACAGTATCATCCAGGCAGTCTGAAAGTTCTGTCCTATAATTCAAATACGGGGTAGGAGGTCTCAGCACGGCGTTCTCCATTCAGTTCCTCCAGGCCTTGTCTTTTGTCCTCCATCCTCCCTGACCACACACCTGAGCTCTGTCCCATTTATATTCTGCTGAAATTCTCCAAGTGGAACAGAATGGAACTAAGATACCTAGAAAAGCCCTGGGCCTGATTCATCAGGCCTTAATAATCAAAAGAGTGCGGACACAGGAATGTCAGAACTTTGTGTAATTCAAATCAGGATAAGCTACAGGAGAAAGTCTACTGAAGGAAACAATTTTAAAAAGGAAACAAGAGTCTTGACAGTTTCTCTGTCTAAATTAAAAGTTTCATCTCACCAAACAAGATCTATCAGTAGGGTGAACAATGGATATATATACACGTATGTATCAGAAAGACTCCAAATCACAATGCCTTAGAGCACGGATCAGAAAGCTATGGCCTAGGGGCCAGATCCCAGCTTGCCACCTGTTTTTTATGTTTAAAATTTCATTTGAGCAGAGTCACTCACTTGTTTATGTATTGTCTGTGGCTGCTTTTGCACTGACAGCAGAGTTGAGCAGTTATGACTGAGACCATATGGCCTACAAATATCCTAAAGTATTTATTATCTGGCCCATTACAGACAAAGTTTACTAACCAATGCCTTGGAGTGTTGATTTATTTTTCTCTTATGTAAATAAGTCCAGGGAGCAGGAGTGCAGGATTAGTAGTGCCATCTGCAAACCGACTCATTCCACCTGTTTGCTAGGACATCCTAGCTTGTGTCTCCCATTCTCTATGTCATTTCATGGCCCAAAGTGGCTTCTGGGACTCAGTAGCCACATCTAAATCCTATCTCAAATTCAGGCCAGAATAAATAGAAAAAGTAGTAGGTTAATCGGGGCCTTCCCTGATGAGTCAGGTCTCATTAAACAATCTTCTTGGCAGTTCCATAAAACACTTCTGATTCTATGTTATTTGCCAGAACTTAGTCGTCTGCCATATCTATCTGTAAGGGGCAGCGGGAAATAAAATTTTTGTTCATTTGTTTTATTCCTGGTGGCACATACCCAGCTAAAAATAAGAATCTATTGTTCTGGAGAAAGAAGCACTGAACATTGAGTTGGGCCAGCACCTGTCTTTGCTATAAAACATGACTGAGTGACATCATGATCATAAGGGCTCACAGGTCACCCACACCTTCTTCCATTTGGGGATGAAACATTTAAAGAAAGAAGAATTTGCATCACATATATAACTTCTTTTGTCTGATGTTTAATCATTTGGTGTGCATATAAGCCAGTTATGAATCACTAAGTGATTGATCAATGTATTCATTCAAGAAGACTCTTGATCTTGTACCATTCAAGAAGACTCGCTGAGCACCTACAGTGTTCCAGGCATAGGAGAGGCAAATGGACCTCTAATCCCTGCCCCCCGAGAGTTCCAGGTCACTGAGGGAGACAGACAAGCAAATAAACAACAGTTATCAGGGGTGAGACCCCTCATGGGGAGGAGTAATATTATACCATAGAGAGAACACAGGAAAGGCTTACGGCTTCCGCTGAGCTGAAGAACCGGTTGGGAGGATTTGGGGAGTAAAGAAGCAGGAGCACAGGCCTTCCAGCAGGAGGGGGCAGCAATTACAAATGCATGAGGGAGATCGGGGGAGACTGAGCGTGGAGAGGTGAGTGGTGCACAGGTGTGGTGGGGGGTGGGCAGCGATCACAACCAGAGGGACCTTGGCACTAAGGCACTGGGTTTTACACAGATGGTGCTGAGCAGGCACTGAGGGTTATCAGTTAGTAGTGTCACAGGACCAATCTGTGTTTCTTAAGGATCATTCTAGTCACAGTGCAGATGGTTTGGGTGGGATGGGCAGGTAGGAGGACAGAAGAGAAGACTTTTATTCTGCAACCATGCTTTGGTCCAAGTATGACCTAGTATTATTGCATGAGAAGATCCATTCACCCAACAGCTATCAGTAAAGAGACATAATGGGTAATAGGAACCTAGATTTTATGTAATCTTCATGCCATCCTGAGAAGCCCCATCTTACTGATAGTGAGTTTCTCTTCTCCTTGCTAGATTCTCAATCTCAAGAATTGAAGAATGAATTCAATGACCACAGGTAAGGGAAAGTGATAGTTTATTGAGGGAAGGAAAGCTTCCAATACAGTGGAAGGGGTTCTGAATGGGTTGCCCTTGCAGTTCAGTTGTTTAGGGATTTTTAAGCCTTATTTGATCACCTAAATCTTGCTAGTAAATAGTGATTAGGTTCTTTAAACCTAGCTGGTCTAGTCAATTGGTTTCTTTAACCTAGCTAGCTGGCCTCTGTTGATTGGCCTTTTAAGTGCACTTATTTGGCCAATCCCCTATGGGGTCCTTTCCCCTGGTATATTCTGCCTAGCAACAACCAGTGACCAATGGTTGCACGGGTCATGCAGGCACTCTGTGATGGCCGGAAACCTCCTGCTGGGAACCTTCTGTGCTGTTTGAGGACTGTGCACAACCCCTTATCCCAACCTACTGTTTTCTCTGGACCCCATTTTCCCTGTTCCTGCTTAAAACCTTATGATGCCTATCATTACCAATGAGCTAGATGAGGTTCAGAAATGTTCAGTGACTTACGTAAAATGCCACAGCTAGTGAGCAACAGAGTGGGGGCTGCGATTAAGTTTTGTGATCTCCAGTCCACTGTACTTTGTGTTGCATGTTGACAGCAACACAAATTCCAAACTCAACCTGTCACCCTAAATCCAGTCCAGGCAGCACTATCTGCATGTTTTGGCAGCAACATATCTTGATGGCACTAACTGTAGGAAAACATGGAGGCATTTCCCTTCTGTTATGAGGCAGGATATCAAGAGCATTTTATTAGGCTTTGGCAAAGTCTCTCAATAGGAAAAAAATCAAGCATATATTTTATAACTCTTTTGTTTAATGCTGTAGCAATTATTTAAACTCACAAAGAGCTCTTTCTCTATGATTCCAACTTTCTATTTGACCCATAGTTTATCTTTCATCTTTTGTGAAGAAAGTCATAAGAATTCTCAAAATAGATTTGCTAAAATCTAAAGTCAACTTATTTAATACATTATAATTGTTTTAGCTGCTCTCGTGGATTTTTGTTTTCTCAGAAAGAACTTTCCAGACACCTGTTGTCCTATTCCAACTTTCCTGTTTGAGTTAGAAGTTGCTATCTAACATTCAGTCAAAACACTTAAAAACCTGCATTGGGATCATCAGTTTCCTTGCCTTTTTCTTGACTGTGTGAACTAAAATAAAATATGAAGCCTCTCAGCTGATTGAATGGACTCCCTATTGGGCATGGGGACTCCAGAAATACCCTAAAGCTGATTCACTGTACATGAGAAGGGAGGTCAGACGTGCCTCCCTCATCATGTCCTTCCCTCTTCTTGGACATGTCCTTTGTAAATCATTAATAGGTCTAAGGCCATACAAGAAAAAGCTTAAACCACACCTGCAGATCCTCAATTTACTTCACAGATCATGTGAGTCTGGGTATATGTCTGGTATATGTCCGGTGGTTTGTCTCTTGATTAACACACTTCCTTCCTTAAGTTAAAATATTCCAAGCCTTTTGACAGAGCTTCATTTCTATAACCAATTACAAATGAAACACTCTTTAAACCCACCTATAACCTTTAAGATGCCCTGACTGAAGATGCCCTCCCTTTTCAGATCAAACCAGTGTACACTTTCTATTTACTGACTTATAACTTTACCTGTAATTCCTGTCTCCCTGAAATGTAAACTGTAATCAAACCATAGCCAGACCAATTCTTGGATGTGGCTCTGGGCCATGGTCACACATATTGGCTCAGGTTAAAGGTCTTTGCTTCATGAATTTGCGTGCCATCCTTGTGCAGGGGCCATGCTAATCTTGAGTTTTGGTTCTTTTTAGTTGACAACTACATCCTTCAAGTCAGCAACCGGGTATTTATTTATCTTCACATCTTCAGCATCTTGTGCAGTGACTGGCATGTAATAGCCCACAGTAACTGTTTATAGATGGAGCAACAATGCAGATAAACACATACAATTGTGTTTTAAATGGTACTGTATTGGAATCCTTAGCACATTACAAAAAAAAAAAAAACTTTCCCCATAATTTTACTGCCAAAAAAAAAAAAAAAAGTAAGAAAGAAAGAAAGAAAAAGAAATCAAAAGCTCTAGGAACAACTTTGGGGTTATGGTTTTCTGAGGATCTATTTAGGAGGCCATTTTAGTATTTGTTAAGACTGAGGATCACAGCGCTTTTTCAGAAGTTGATCCAGAGATGGCTGCTTTGTGGTTCCATTTTTTCCCTTGTCATATCTCCCACAGTAAACACTGGCTTTCTAGATTGAGTGTGCCTTAATTTAAAAGCAGAAATCTTACGCTGCTGTCTTATGAGACCAGATGTTATGCTGGGCATATATTCCTTTCCAATTCACTTTGCTTTCTGTTCTCTAATGGTTCTCCACACTGGTACTTCACAGCAGAAAAAGCTCCTAAGCTTTGATCTGAATGGGAGCTAAACTCATGGGACTTACTGCTCACAGACACACACTCATACACTCACACTCAAAAGGGGTCACCTTACAGCACCAAGTATTCATTTTATGTTTCAGTTGTAAAGTCTGAGTGAGGTGTAACTATAAAGTAGTGAGAAATTCTGACCAACTACATGGTAGCTCAGAACTCATGGTCTGGAAGCCGTCACCTTAGCCATCATCTTATCCACACCCTGACGCTGTGTCGTAAGTCTCCCACAGCTCTTTCACTCTGACTTTTCCTTGGTTCCTTCCTTTTGCTTAGTTTAGGTCAGTTTCTGCTCTTTCTCTTTTCTTTCTTTTTTTTTTCGAAATAGAATCTTACTTTATCACCCTCAGTAGAGTGCCATGGTGTCACAGCTCATAGCAACCTCCAACTCCTGGGCCTAGAAGATTCTCTTGCCTCAGCCTCCCTAGTAGCTGGGACTACAGGCGCCCACCACAACACCTGGCTATTTTTTGTTGCAGTTTGGTCAGGGCCAGGTTTGAACCCGCCACCCTCAGTATATGGGGCCAGCGCCCTACCCACTGAGCCACAGGCACTGCCCTGCTCTTCCTCTTTTCTTCTGGTCTTGAACCAATAGTCCAAAGATCTCCAGAATTCAAGAAGCCAGAAGTAACAGTTTGCTGGGAAGAACAAGGTGGAAAACCCAAAATAAGCCTTGTGCCACCTCTGAGTGCTACAAAGGGAGACTGAAGGTCTGCCTGGGAGAGGGGGACAGGGGAAGGACTGGGACTGGCTGAATTGAGAAAATGATAACCACAGCACTTTAAAGATTGTCTGTGTAGTATTGTAGATTTCTGAAAAGGTAGAGAGAAGAATGGACTGGAAGTATTAGGTAATATCATTGTCTTCAAGGAATTGGAATTACTGGTAGGTTACCAGTGCTTCTCAGCCTACAGAAATTTTGCTTTCAAGGGGACACTCAGTCATGTCTGGAGACATTTTTGGCTGTCACAAGTTGTGATAGGAAGGGTTGTTACTAGTGGAAAGAGGCCAGGGATGTCACCAAACAGCCTACAAAGCACAGGACAGACCCCTGTCCCCACCAACAGGAAAGCTTCCAAAAGCAAACAAAGGATCAAAACTGTTTGCACACTACCAAACTAGGAGAAAAAGAAGCATAAACAGACCTTGACCTCTACCTTGCAGAAGCTTAGAATTTTAAGAATTTTCTTCTTTGTAGTATAATGAACATGAAATGATGTTTACTAGTATTTTTAGGCAAAAGGCATTGAGGCCTTAGCAGGATATGCATTTCTGCAGCAGTGATTTCTTTTCACAGTAAGTGTTCTACCCAATTTCTCTGTGATGTCCAGTTTCCTCACTGTAGTTATTATTATTGGTAATTTCCTTTTATTGACTGCTGCTAAAAATTGATTTATGGCACCACGGTAGGTCAACCTAAGGAACAGATGAAACGGTGCTCTGTGGTTGGACGCCACCCGTCCTCTTCAAGCGTAAGAACAACTTCTTGGCAGTTGTACAGCCTTCCTATCATGGGGTTCTCTCAAGTACAAAGAGGGCTCAAAGTTAATTGTTTCATAATTGAAGTTTCCTGAAGCTTGACTGTGTCTGTGCGTCCACTACCCCTCCAGGGTCCCCATCTTGCATTAATGTTTGTTTTTCCCTCATTATTTTCTATGTGTACATCTTGTGGAAGCCCCAGGGAGAGAGGGATGACTTCTAATCGTTCATTCGTGTAGACAATTATCCACTTGATGTTGGAAAACACGCAGGGATCACCAGTACACTCTAAGCTCTGCCCCCAGCCTCTGGGATCCAGCAGGGAACGTGATGGCAAGGCCCTGCCCTCCTGGAGGGGACATTCATGAGTGTGGCAGGAGACAGTAGGAAATACACAAGGTAATGAACAAAGCCATTTCTGACATTGGTATAGAAGACATAGTGCCACCGTCGTATTAGTTTTCTGTGGCTGCTGTAACAAATCGCCATAAACTTGGTAGCCTAACCCAGCAGATTTATTGTCTTAGAGTAGTGGAGGTAAGCTGTCTGACCAAGGTCTCACTGGCTAAAACCAGGGTGTTGCCCAGGCTGCATTCCTTCTGGAGGCTCTAGGGGAGAATTCATTTTCTTGCCTTTTCCAGTATCTAGAAAGGTCCCATATGGCTTGGCTTTAGAACAAACAGTGGCCAGACGAGTTTGACTTCATCACTTTGCTCTCACATTCACTTCTTTCCTCCTCTCTTCCACGTCTGAAGAACCCTCACGTTCACCCTGGGCCTGCTCAGATAATCCAGTGCAATCTCCTAACCCTGTCCTCCGCTGGGTAACACTGTTGCTATGTCACACAACATAGTTACAAGTGTGGGGGAATGAGGACTCAGTTGGGGAACATTAGTCTGCCTTCTACAATGATATAATGGGTCATAGTAATTTCAGTGCCCTGCTCAATACCTACATAGAATAGTTGTTCAGTAAATGCAGTACCTGGTAAGTAGATCAGAACTAGATACATTTGCTTCTTGTCAAATAACAGGCATGTTTTCTTCATTGCATGAACTTCAAGGGTGAGGTGGTTTCAGCCAATTTTCTAGGTTAATGAAGTTACCCCAAAGCAGAGAGAGGCTTAGGGGCCCTGTCACACCAGGCCTCAGAGGGGGGCCTCTCTGCCTTTTTCTTGCTTCTCCTCTGGGCTGGCTCCTGCACGAGGCTTGTGTAGGACCCACAGTCGTGATCTTCCCCTCACCTCCTCTCGGCAGCTGCCTGCGATGCTCCACCACCCCAATTTCTGTCAGCTGCAGCAATTTTCTTGAATTATAAAAGGAGATTTTTTTTTTTTTAAAGGATCCTAGGAGATCGTTTTCTAGATAAGGAAACTGAATTTTAGAATAGCTAGGGAAAACATCTAAAATGGTTTAGAAAGACTTTTGATGGGTGACGTGTACGATTAGACAGGTTTACAGGGTTTCTTTTATGCAATATGAATATGGTGAGTTTAATTTTTAATTCTGGCAGCGTTCCTTGATTTTACAATGCCACTATTTTGCTGGATGTCTCTGACAAATGTGATTCTTCCTCCTTACTAAATTATAGCCTTCTGTTTCTTTAAATGTCTCATGAGCATCAAGCCTTGACAGCCTGATGAGACTGAGTATCACTGACCCATCCTGCCCCAGGTTATGTAACAGACCTGGCTGCATGAGTGTCAACCTGCCTCCTTTGTGTCCACCCCCTGCTCTGACCATGTTCTCTCCATGCAACTGCAAGCTCTCAAGAGAGAGGGAGGAAGTGGCCCAGCGCTCTTATTTTGCTCGTACTTCTACACAGTGGCCATGGAGGTCTGTGCGCGAAATTGCTGAGATAGATCATTTAATCAAGAGTGCTGCTTAAAAATACTACAGAAACCTATAATTCTAGCAGTCTGGTAGACTGAGGCAGGTGGATTGCTTAGCTCATGAGTTCGAGACTAGCCTGAGCAACAGCAAGACCCCTGTCTCTAAAAATAGCTGAGCGTTATGGCAGGCACCTGTAGTCCAAGCCACTTCAGAGGCTGAGGCAGGACAATTGCTTGAGCCCTAGAATTAGAGGTTGCTGTGAGCTGTGACGCCACCGCACTCTACTGAGGGTGACAAAGTGAGACTCTGTCTCAAAAAAAAAAATACTGTAGAAAAATAATTATATTTCCCAGTTTGCTTTTACTTGTGCAAGAGGTGATGGACTATGTCCATTAGAAAGACTTTAGAGTTCATTTTTTCATGAGTAACACAAAGGCACATTGGAACATTCGAGGTTGGGCTTGCTTCTGTGAAGACCAACACCTTGCAGCGCTTCCCTTAGCGAGCTTTCTCCAGATGGCATCTCAGCTCACGTTACCATATTGAGTTAGAGCTAATTAGAAATTGCCCTTCATCCAGACATTTTCATTTCTCCATAGAATGACCACTAACAGCTCTCATCTAGAAGAGGGAAAAGCAAGTCTGAGATACCCCCAATTAAAGACCTGACTCTACTGACTGAAATTCTAAGGGGAACAAACCTTTTAGGCAAAATGAATGTGTGGGCAAGGTAATGTTTATGCTTAGCAAAATGAGCTGTGAAAACCCGGACCTTTATTTTCAGTGTTTCCTCTCTAACTTTTCCTTAAATCTACTCTAAGGATTAACTATCAGCAGAGCCCCATTTATTTTATATTCTACGCCTATTTGGAATCTGAGAGCAAAGAAGAACTCACCTTCTTTGGCCAAAAATTTGAGTTGCCTGAGTTTTCATTTTGCTATAGGAGCCGAAAGAACCAGAACTAGGCTCACCTTTCTCCATGGGTATGAATCTAGTTAATTACACTGTATTTATGACATGGATTGGAAAGAGTAGTGTGTGTATGTGTGTTTTGTGTGTGTTTGTGCGTGTGCACCCACAAGCGTGCATG